CCTATCATATCATACGCTCGAGGACGAGCTTCTTGAAGGGACGGAGATGTCGGGATGCAAGATCCCAGACGCAGTGTAACATCATAAATCACCCTGGGGGTCGGACCTAGCGGAAGCGGGACTCGGTAGTGAGTTCCGCTACCTTGGCAGCTACCGGCCTCTTTCCTCTTCTCCTCCACCCCCTCTCCTTCCCCTCTCCATTCTATGCCCCTCGTCTCTTATACAGTGTAAGTCTTCATGAATAAATATGAATATAGTTTATGTATGTAACACACTCCCACCAATCAAGAAGGGCCAGGCCACCCTTAACTTGATAAGCCCATATAAACAGCTATTTTTGTGCGAGCGCTTTGAAAGTTGATCGAATTCTCCCAAGTGCAATATATTCGAATGAAAAATGAGAGGGGTTTGCTGTTATCTCAAGACATTTCACTTCACGTTAAAAACGATTTTTTGAAAGAGATTATGGAAAATTTATAATTTTATCCTGGCTTAGCTCTATAGCTTACAGCCAAGATGCAGGAGACCTACTAGCGATTTCTATTGCTGGAAACTCGGCGCCAGTTACCCTTCTTCTCCATAAGAAAACTCCAATTTATATTGAAAGCTTATTTTTTCACCTACACTTCGGCGGCGTTTCTCATTCTCTGAACATTTGTTGTTTTTTTTGACCTTTCAAAAGAAGGCTTTCAGTAAATTTGACCATTTAAGTTGAGGAATACACTAGCAAAGGCGTCTTTGAGCCTGATTCTATATCTGATTTCTATATCTGCTCAACACCTTTTTGGAACAGTTATGAAAATCTTTTCAGCTAAAAGCAATGCGCAGCAAAATTATTGCTCTGAAACTGAACATTTAAATTAAAATAACAAGAGTTCATTTCTGATTCATAAATGAACAATATGTAATTATAAATGAACACTAAGCTTTCGAGCATAAATCGAAGCTAGTAGCTGCTAATTTTAGATGACTCTTCTGAGCATTTAGCAGACATTTAAGGCAGATTTAGGACCGGCATTTCAAAACACAACAGTGATATGCAAACTACCTTGTGGGACTTCATCTAAATAAATTCTCTTATTACGGCACTAAGTTTACACAAAATGCTAAATCAGAAGCTTTCCGAAATCGGATTGCAAAAAATTGGATCAGAAGCGTTGAGCATGAGTTTGAGACAAAATTGTAGAAATTGTGTAAGCTATCAAGCCTATGACTTCTGCAAAAGGAAGGTGCTTTACTGCAGTGCCCTATTTTGAGGAACACATCAACGTAGTATCTTAAAACGAATGAGCCGAGGTGCGCATCTCGCAAAGCACAATAATACAATTTCTGTAAAAATTATCTATTCCTCTCTGTGGGCTTTATAGAACTGCAACTACGTGAACATTTAATTTCCAGTTGCCTACCCAAGAACCAAGTGATGAAAACGAGACGACAAGAATCTGTAGTAGCATACCATTACTTCAAATTTCAGCGGTGAATATTTCTCAAACCTAAAAGATTAAGTACAAAAAAGTCCCTCTTACTTTGCGTAAGAATCAACCCCGCTGTCGCCGTAATTCTCTACCAGGTGATCGTAATTTCACGGCTTTTTTCTAATCGTTACTGTAGACATGCATGAATATAAAGATCTTCGGACATTATAATACTTCATCGAAGAGTCATTTATAATTCAAAGGATGATCCAAAAGATTGATAGTGCAAGGAGTTCCACCAGATGCGCAGTCGCTTGAAAGCTTCTCCAGCTCCAAGAAAACCAATGTATTCTTTCCGCTCGACAGCAGAGGAGCTGGCACGTAAAGGTACATCTGAAATATAAAAGAATACTTCCTGAATGCGGCTGAAATACCTAGAGGACGAAAGCCACCTGTGGACCGGCAGTACTCCAATACCTTCCCAGGTTGAAGCCGTTCAACCATGCTACACCTTTGCCCCAATTCGACAGGTCAATAAAAGTGTCAGCCGGAGCGCTTATGCTGAAATCTCCACTGAATACATCACCTACGAGAAAGGGATTCGTGGCCTACAAAGAAAACATTCCTTTCGGTATTGACTGGGACTCAAAAGTAGGGAACTAACGGTTGAAGAGGGTGAAACACTTGCTAATTGATCGATATCAACGGGGCATGAAGACCAACCAGTCAGTTGAGAGCCATCCAACTTTATCGGAGAGATAATTCCCTATGAGCAGTAAATTATCATGTACCAAGGGTTTAAAAGTAGGCACATAGTTTGTAAGTAAAAAAGTGGTAGTTATGTCAAGAGAGATAAGATATTAAAGTCTGTTTGTGTTAAACATTTTGTAAAAAGCAGATCCTTTAAATCTATTTAGAAAATTCTTAGCAGACCGCTCTGAGCCAAAATTGAGAAAACAAAATCAGCTCAAAACGTTTCAGATGCATCGCTAAGTTACTTTCTAAAATCCGCCTTAGCTGTACCTTATAGTCGTTTGCAGTCTCCCATGTTAATCGGCCTTGATTTTCG